ATATTCAATTATAATGGATTTACATCAAGTAAACGCCAACACTATCAAATAAATATTGGGAGTCAATATTGCCGGAGAATAATAAACAGGTCAAGGTGTAAAAAAATATATATATAATAAGTGTCAAATTATTAGCAAAATCACTATATAGTAGTATTTTGTTTGCAAATTATTATTTTCAAAGGTGTAGTGTAACTGATTTCAGTAGGTGTTCAATCGGTGGGAAATTCCGCTTTTACTCACGCTGAAAGATCTAAATAAACATCCTTTGATGCTATTGTTCGTTGATACACATACTGTATATTTGGATTAGCATTTTTTATATTTCGCTAATGATGATGCTTTAAACACCACATTTGTGCGTTGTTATTCATCTCTTTTAAACGAGGCGTTTGTAAACAATGATTATTGAGGATCATTTTCTTCATCCTGTTAGTATAAGCAATTCTGCGAAGAAAGTGGTCAGACTTTTCGTTGAATAATTGTACAAACTTCAACGAATGGGAGTAGAGGAAATGATGTGGTGATTTTTCTTATTTGTACGGTTTTTCATTTCGGATATACGTATGAGGCATCCATTCAAAGAATACCTAATCACACACAATATTTTTCATATTTTTTCAAATTGTGGAAGATCAGATTCGTCATAAAATCATCGACAAATCACTGTCATCTCAAGCAAATCAAAAATGCGATTTTTAAACAAAACGAATGGATAAGGAAAACGAATACACTGGTATTCGTTCTTCATCTTGAACAAGAGACAATTTTTTAATATTTTTATAAAATAAAGGGTTCTTCCTCCGTAAAATAATTTGTATCAATGCTTATACCATGCTATATATTGATATATCAATGCTTGTTCCATGACATATAACTTTCCCTATCTTTATCTTGGAGTCAATTTATTACACCTATTTGCATACGTGTTATTTATATTTCGTGGTTGGACATAAAAACTTTACGCCCCCGGGTGGGCTCGAACCACCAACCTTTCGGTTAACAGCCGAACGCGCTAGCCAATTGCGCCACGGAGGCTACGTATAAGCTAATGCATTATACAAAAACCAAACAATTTTTATTATTCCTATCTCACTCTACTACAAGTATTTAATTGCTTCAGGTCTACTAGTTGTATTTGGTAATAGTTAATTACCTGAAGATACGCCGATGTTGTTTTATATTAGGTACCTACCTGTACGAATATGTTGAATTCTGATTGGAAATTGTGTCACTCATAATGTAATAAAAAAGTTATTAGATATCGTTTTCATATTGTATTTTATTGTAATATAATATCAATTCCTATATAAAAATTTTATTGATATATAATGTACATTGTAAAATATATATTTCATATTATACGGTCCACTTACGATTAAATTCAACAAAAGTTTGATATTTCAATTATCTGTAGATAAATTCAAATTGTCTGTCTTTATATTCGCACCTATATATGAAATTCATTATAATCAAATATTTGATTGGATTTTTGATTATTTGTCTTCGAGCACCATGGAATTTTTTTATTTTTGCACAGTATAGTTTCGTCGTTACAAACGACTTCTTCAGATGCTTACAGCATCTTCAGTAAGAATCTGAAGAAGTCGTTTATAACGACGAAACGCGTCATGCTATGTAGTCAATAAAGTATAAATCATAAGTTCAAGTGTTTGAATTTAAGTTTATATTCAATTATAATGGATTTACATCAAGTAAACGCCAACACTATTAAATAAATAATGTTTATTGTTAAATACTACTCACATTGTACATATTTTATTTCAATTAATATGGTGTTTACAACTAAGAATAATGCTCACAAAAAAACCGAATTCAGTTTTGAATTTGGTCTTCGATTCAGTCCTCGAACAAAAATATTGGTTAAATTTTATTTTATGAAATTTACAATGTTAATCGATGACATTTGAGAAGAGAAAAATGACCTCAAAAATATCAATCCTTCAATACAATTTCATCTTGTGAAGTATAGCCGTATTGGAAAAGTAAACAATCATATAGTACAGAAACTGATTCATACACTACAATGAACATTCTAATAATGAAAGTACTCTGCCACAGCCTTGGTTAACATCAATGAGTTAACTCTCTTCTTAAACAAATTAGCTTTCAGTATTTTCAAATTCGATGGTAAAAGTTTGAAGATTTTAATACTGTGATTATAGAGTGAATACTCAAATTTGGCTCTTTTATGCTTCGCTATAAGTAGCACATCGCTGTTCCCTGTTGAATACTCATGATCACTATTCAATTCAATAAAGCTATCTTCATTTTCTTCAACATATAATAAACATCTATAAATATATAAACAGGATAGGGTGAGTAGGTAATTGTTGATGAAGATAAGTTTTCAAGATATTCGTTGATGAATATTGAAAATCAAACGAACTATTTCCTTCTGTGTAATAAAAACCGCATTCATTTCTGTAGAGCAGCCCCACAGCAGAATATTATCGTTCAGATAAATATATACAAGACTGTAAAGTCAATTGAAAAGTTCCCGGCCTACCTTAGTAACACATTTTTTTGGCAAAATTCGTTTTTTTTTATTCAACGTAATTCCTTTCAAGGGTGATACACCCACCCACTTTGCACAGAGCTTTCTCTACCCAAATATTCGTGAATGATATGATGTACACGTTCAGTTGATATCTTTAGAGTGACTATTTCATTCAATTTCAACTTACGCTCATGCAAAATCATTTTGAGGATTTTTTTTAATGTTTTTGTCAGTAACAACCTGTTTTGGGGCGTTCACTGCGTTCACCATCTTCACTGAACGCAGTGGTCGCCCAATTCTCAATTCACCACGTCTAAACGTAGCAAATCAATCCTTGAAGGTTGATTTTCCTGGGGCATTGTCCGGAAGCTTGGCGTCAAGACAAGTTTTTGCTCCAACTATATTCTTTCCCTTCGAAAATCAATATTTATCAACATGCGAAATTCCTTTTTATCAATTTTTTTCACAATAACAAAAGTTGCTTCACTCAAAATGCTATAGATCACAAACTAATGATCCGACAGCTGTCAAATTTATACATGCATATTTTGTGGGTTAGGGCTAACTAAACAACATGGATTTGATTCTAGTAGCGCCATCTATGTGTCAGGCCGGGGACTTTTCAATTGACAACTTCTAGGTACAATGTTTTTGATTCTAGAGATTGCACAAAATGTTCTACGACTTCTTTCGGCTATAATAAAAGCTATTAATACAAGAATTTTCAGGATAACACGTATAGCCCTAATTTATTAAGTATTAACTAATTTATACACTGAACACATTTCGTTACGATTTTCCAAGCTCAGTATACTAAAGTTCTGATGAATTTCGGTAAAACAATATGCAGTTCATTTCTAAAAGACATGAACCTCAGTACTTCATGGTACTCATTTTTTAGTGTAGAATCCACATTGATGTTGCAAAGTTAAGCCCAAAGGAATTTGAATTCGAATTAATAAGAAAGAATAAATGGAGTTTCTGTTTTCTCAAAAAATTTTCTGTCTGAAAGCAAACCCCAAGCATTTATTCTTCACATATATTTATATTTTCAATAAAACCAACAAAGATTTACATTATTTTATACTCTATCACTGCCCTTATCTATACATCGAAGGAATACTGAGGATAATTAATTGATTAACTCATAATATCTCAGAAGCAGACTTGCCAAAATTATATACCAGAACCATTACATTCTGAGACGATTTTTTTATTACTCACAAAATATTTTTATGAAAATTCTTCAAATCATGATGATTTCATTGAATGAATATATTCATCTAATTTAAATATTGGGATTGAATATAACTTAAAGTCAAACACTTGAACTTATGATTTACACTTTATTGACTACATAGCATGACGCGTTTCGTCGTTACAAACGACTTCTTCAGATGCTTACAGAATAATGGTTATTCTGTAAGCATCTGAAGAAGTCGTTTGTAACGACGAAACGCGTCATGCTATGTAGTCAATAAAGTGTAAATCATAAGTTCAAGTGTTTGAATTTAAGTTATATTCAATTATAATGGATTTACATCAAGTAAACGCCAACACTATCAAATAAATATTGGGAGTCAATATTGCCGGAGAATAATAAACAGGTCAAGGTGTAAAAAAATATATATATAATAAGTGTCAAATTATTAGCAAAATCACTATATAGTAGTATTTTGTTTGCAAATTATTATTTTCAAAGGTGTAGTGTAACTGATTTCAGTAGGTGTTCAATCGGTGGGAAATTCCGCTTTTACTCACGCTGAAAGATCTAAATAAACATCCTTTGATGCTATTGTTCGTTGATACACATACTGTATATTTGGATTAGCATTTTTTATATTTCGCTAATGATGATGCTTTAAACACCACATTTGTGCGTTGTTATTCATCTCTTTTAAACGAGGCGTTTGTAAACAATGATTATTGAGGATCATTTTCTTCATCCTGTTAGTATAAGCAATTCTGCGAAGAAAGTGGTCAGACTTTTCGTTGAATAATTGTACAAACTTCAACGAATGGGAGTAGAGGAAATGATGTGGTGATTTTTCTTATTTGTACGGTTTTTCATTTCGGATATACGTATGAGGCATCCATTCAAAGAATACCTAATCACACACAATATTTTTCATATTTTTCAAATTGTGGAAGATCAGATTCGTCATAAAATCATCGACAAATCACTGTCATCTCAAGCAAATCAAAAATGCGATTTTTAAACAAAACGAATGGATAAGGAAAACGAATACACTGGTATTCGTTCTTCATCTTGAACAAGAGACAATTTTTTAATATTTTTATAAAATAAAGGGTTCTTCCTCCGTAAAATAATTTGTATCAATGCTTATACCATGCTATATATTGATATATCAATGCTTGTTCCATGACATATAACTTTCCCTATCTTTATCTTGGAGTCAATTTATTACACCTATTTGCATACGTGTTATTTATATTTCGTGGTTGGACATAAAAACTTTACGCCCCGGGTGGGCTCGAACCACCAACCTTTCGGTTAACAGCCGAACGCGCTAGCCAATTGCGCCACGGAGGCTACGTATAAGCTAATGCATTATACAAAAACCAAACAATTTTTATTATTCCTATCTCACTCTACTACAAGTATTTAATTGCTTCAGGTCTACTAGTTGTATTTGGTAATAGTTAATTACCTGAAGATACGCCGATGTTGTTTTATATTAGGTACCTACCTGTACGAATATGTTGAATTCTGATTGGAAATTGTGTCACTCATAATGTAATAAAAAAGTTATTAGATATCGTTTTCATATTGTATTTTATTGTAATATAATATCAATTCCTATATAAAAATTTTATTGATATATAATGTACATTGTAAAATATATATTTCATATTATACGGTCCACTTACGATTAAATTCAACAAAAGTTTGATATTTCAATTATCTGTAGATAAATTCAAATTGTCTGTCTTTATATTCGCACCTATATATGAAATTCATTATAATCAAATATTTGATTGGATTTTTGATTATTTGTCTTCGAGCACCATGGAATTTTTTTATTTTTGCACAGTATAGTTATGAAAATAAGATGATAAAACAATTGTTAAACTAATTTACACTTATATTAAAAATAATACTGCATGACGTACGTTTCGATGAGATTCACCTTTTTCAAATGCTACGTGCAGACTACGTCTGAAAAAGGTGAATCTCATCGAAACGTACGTCATGCAGTATTATTTTTAATATAAGTGTAAATCAGTTTAACAATGGTTTTATTATGTTTATCGATTTACATCAAGTATCGGCCTCATCAATTATTAAAATAAGATGAATTTTTTGTTAAGGTCGTGGTCAACTTCTATTCCCGTTCAGTGATAACATGGACTGAGGGTTGTGAAAGAGTAGCTATCTAGAGTAGAAATCTTGTAAGCTTTCGTCGATGCTATTACTGATGATGTCTTTACATTTTCTGACGAAACGTTCAGACGATAAACAATTACATTTTACGACATTACGTCAATTTGAAAAGAGTTTTCACTTCGCTTGCTCACTTTGTTTCGTACGCTCGTTGTAAAAACTTATACAATTTCAATATTCGATACTTTGTTTTGAAATAATTCAAATGAACTGACAGCAGTCGATGTGCAAAATAATTCTGATGTTTTTGTTTAATGAGTGTTCTACCATTAAAAGTAATTGAAAACATTGAAATTAATATCAATTCCTTGTCCGAATGTCTTCAAAATGGGTAGATAAGATTAAAAAGTCAGCATTTTTCTTTACGTTGTCTGTGTTTTTGTAGTTTTTTTTTTTGTTGGGTGTCTTGCTTCTCGACAAATTTTTATTATTCCGTAGACACAGCTTTTTTCTTTTCATCTATCATTCTTCATGTGTTACCTTTCTTGACCACTTATATTCGGTATCAATTTAAATATTCTGTTTTTGTGCCGCTCATTCACTGAATTCTAAGTTTTAATCATTATAACTGAAGAAAAGAGTGACTGGTAACTGAAAAGTTATAATCTATTGTTTAAATGTTCAGATGGAGATCTAAAACAAGTTAATCGTTTCATTCGTTTGGTATATGTTATTTCGTTACATTTTGTCTTTACTTATGAGAGGCTTTCAGATATATTTCATCGAATGTAGCTTTCCTTCGAAGGTCTTTTCTCAAAGGTTCATTTTTCATTTAAATTTTTAGAGCAAAATTGATTCGATTTAAATTTCTATGTATTTCAGACTGTCATCTACATCCGTCATTTCCATTTTCAACCTTTCATGAAGTGAACAGGCCTTATAAACTCCTTTGTGTAATCAGTAGTCGTTCGCAAAATCCTTCCTAATTGCATTTTATCGTAAACCAGTTCAATTTTAATGCTCTCTCGACCGAAAAGCAACAGTTCCACCGTCACCTTCCAGCTTTTGCTTTCAGCATTCTCCTTTACGTTTTTCGTAAACTGGTTGCAGACCAGAAACCGCTTCAAAACCGCCGAAGAACTCGTTCATTGACGCTCATCCACAAAATTAATGAGCCTACCGAAATCGGTATCGTCCAATTGGGCAAGTTCCCTAAAACAATGGACGATAAATGGAATTTTCAATCATAAAAAAACTTCCCTCGCTAGTTAATAACTTCATTATTTTCGAATCAATATGTTATTAAACGTGGAAAGTTTTGCGTACATACTTTCATTATGAGTAATTCAACCGATTTTTCATCATAAGTTGGGGGAAAAATACATTTGCTACTCGATTAGACGTTTCCTTTTTTTCCCGGAGTATATCGAATGTTTTTCTTTTACTATTTTCTTTATTATCAAATTTTTACTGTCCTTTAGAAACTGGCATGGGCTATGTAGTGAAAAAAAAGAAATAATTGAATATAAACTTAAATTCAAACACTTGAACTTATGATTTGCACTTAATTCACTACATAGCATGACGCGTTTCGTCGTTACAAATGACTTCTTCAGAGTTCTTCATTATTCTGTAAGCATCTAATAAAGTGTAAATCATAAGTGTTCGAATTTAAGTTCATATTGAATTATAATGGATTTTCATCAAGTAAACGCCAACACTATTAAATATAAAAAAAGAAATAATTTGAATATTCTCTTACTCTCAAGGACGTGGCCATTATCTAAATAAAAGAGGGTCATTCCTACCGTTCTGAGGAGAACTTTCATCAGTAGAATCATTATTCTTTTATGAACAAGGACTACAAACATGTCAAATTTCAAATGTATGAATGAATGGGTAATCATATTGCAAACAGTAACATCAAGTTTCTAAGAAAATTCCAATCAAACTTCGAAATTTCATTTTAGAAAATATATGTAGCGCCAGTAGCTTAATTTGGGGCAGAAATGGGGCGGTTATCAGAGGATGGATGATGTCCCACAATTAGAATCTGTAAGTTTATTTAAATTCTGTAAGATAACCTGTTAAAATCAGTTAACTTGAATTATTTGAAGTGGAATACTTATATGTTCCAACACTTCGAAATTTCATTTTAGAAAATATATATAGCGACGGTATTTCAATTTGGGGCAGAAATGGGGTAGTTATCAGAGGATGGATGATGCCCTACAATTTGAATCTGTACGTTTATTTAAATTCTGTAAGATAATCTGTTAAAATCAGTTAAATTGAATTATTTGAAGTGAAATACTTATATGTACAAGTGAAGTGGATATCGGTGAGTTTATATATTTACAAAAACTATAGGAACTCATATATTTGCAGTAGACTGCTTATCAGAGGATTTCTACAATTCCAATAATACTAATAATGTTTTCATACATAGTTGTGCCTTAGTCCACAAAGAACCCTGTAGAACGAATTGATACCAAATCCTTTAGAACCTAGATATTTGTATGAATAATTATCTGGGTTTATTATTGGTGAAACCAAAGTATTAATGAATCTCTTATGAAGGATAAGAGGATGGATAATTGTGTGGATTCTACCATTTGTATGATAATAATAGATCAATAATGATCATAAAATCTATACCAAAAATGGTAGAAATGCTCAATTTTGAAAAGATGAAAATGTCGTGAGAGTTTTAAAAAATACAGGTTGTTGCAGAGATACCGAAGTTGCAGTCATAATACTGGAGGATGCTTTTGATATTTCTGAAAATAGATTTTTAAATTGAGTCAGCACGTAAAGTATTACCAAAAAAATCATTACTAATACCTGTGTCAAAAATTTGCAATACTGTCAAACTAAAAAAATTTCGATCCATAAATTAACCTCATGAAAGATTTTTAGATTTAGCAGTCAAAAAAGGTACTTATCAGATTTATATGAAAAATTTTCTATCATCTCTGAGTTTCAATTCGGATTCAAAAGGAATTGCTCTTGGGAGACAGAAATATTGAGTATATGTGGGGAATGGTGTAATGCTATATATCAAGAAGAAATAGTTATAGTAGTATTATAGCATTTCAGAAGAGCTTCTGAAACTTTATGTTGGTCATTATTATTGGAAAAACCTCATGAAGTTGTCTTTGAAGGACTTGTAAATGCTTGGTTCATGTCTTACTTGGAATCGCTAACATAAAAAGTTAAATAATAGCATGAAAGTTGACGGAGGGGTACCCCAAGGAACTCTCTTAGGCTCATTGTTGTTCTCCTTTAATAGTTTGTATAGAAATATAAACTATGTTGTCTCTCACTAGAAAGAATGCTCCACACGTCTATTTGCTGATGATACTTTGCTTTCTTTATTGGATCTATTGGATATATACCAATATTGGACATATTGGATCAATAAAGACCTTTCTGTAATAAATGAATGGTTATGTGACATTAGTTCATCCCTAAATGTGCAAAAATCTTACTTTATAGTTTTGATTGCAAGTAAAACCCTGAAGATTGATACAAATAAGAATATATTCATAAAGATTGATAAAAAAAATTGGCAGACACAAAACAGTGAATTATTTAGGCATTACGTTAGAAAAACAAATGAATCTTAATTATTTATAATGTTGATTTTATATGCTCTAAAATCTCTGAGAAACATTTCTGGGAATAAGAAAAAATCTGTCGATTTATGTGAAGTTATTGTTGTTCAAATCAAAAATAACGCCACATTTTGAATCCCGTCTCACTTAGTTATTCGGTTTGTTCAAAATTCACCAAATTCACAGAATAAGGGAACAATTTTGAAGTTCAATAGTTAGATATACCCCAGTTAAAATTATGCTGAACTCTTTGTAACTGTTGTCTGTTGATCTGTTGAACAGAGAATACTCTTTGCTTTATATATATATATATATATATATATATATATATATATATATATATATATATATATATATATATATATATATATATATATATATATATATATATATATATATATATATATATATATATATATATATATATATGTATATATATATATATATATATATATATATATATATATTTCTTGAAATTGATTTATTGCCTGCTTAAGATATTTTATTTTGAAAGTTTTTAGCAATAACAGGCTTTTTTTGATATGAAAAAGTTTATTTTTGTTGACGTTTCGTTGTTATATTACAACTTTG